ATATATATATATATATATATATATATACACACACACATAACCCACACCTGAATTTAAGCACTTGTTCTGTAGATTATCAGGGTAATTAAAATTCTTTGTTTGATGAGTAATTACCTACAATTAAAAGTTTCTCTTGCATTATTCTGTGGGTACTCACAAAATTCTAAATACTGAAATAATTAAATAGGCTCATTTAGCTAAGAGGTTTGTTTGTTTGTAGTTAAACAAAAAACTGCACAATGAGCTATCTGTGCTTTGCTCACCACGTGTAATGAAACTCGGTTTCTGTCTTGTAAGTCTGCAGACATACTGCTGTGCCACTGAGGGGTTTGAAAAGTAAATCTAGCAAATGTTGGAAAGACCCTTCTTTTAAAATGATATACAACGGATAATTTGAAACAAACTTGAAACTATTCTAGTCAACTATCAATAACAGATGAGCAAGAAATAAAACTAAGTCTATAAAAAATTAAATAAGAAAAGTTGACCTGAAAAAAAGAATAGTGTTAACTTGTATTATAATCATTATCAATTAATATACCTGTTGAGGAAGTTCACTAATTAAGTATTGGGCAAACTTTTGAAGTTGTTCTCTGTGAAGACGAGAGAGGGATTCTGACACAGGCGCTCGGAGACGTACTTGATTAGGCTATAAATATTTGTAAAAAAATTACAGATGAAAAATATGATTTCAGCCTCTTTGTTGCTTTAAATTAAGTATAATGGCAGTTTTCAGAGGATAATTTACGTATGCACTTAGTATAAAACACATCAAAAATTTTACAACAAAATCCTAAAATATCTGGCAGTTTCTTCAATGACGTGAATGATAAGTTAATTGTGTTACACCACTACATCCACCTATCACTTGTCTACGAACAGTCACAATAAAGAATGTAAAAATACACAGAAGTCATTTTTAAATGTAAACAGCACTCTCGCAAGGTGTAAACATGAGCAATAATGATATTAAATTCATTGTTATTCACAGATACAAGAAACAAAAATCCTTAATACAAAAATTTTAAAGTTGGGGTTAAGTTAATGATGTATCTGTGACATGCTGGTAATGGTCCTTCAAATAATAAAATGAACAGAACCTTCACCTTGAACATAGTGATATGGCCACAACAAGTTCTATGGAGTCACTACAGTAGTTTCTAAGTTCTGTATTTTATCTACATAATATTCTGATAACTATTTCTATACTTCATTATCATCTTGGAAATGAAGAGGATTAAAATGATGCAAAGCTACAGATTTTTCTCTCTCTCTCTCTCTTTTCATACTGGTCTAATTATGAAAAATAATACCAGAATAATTATTCTTACTCACCTGATGTATTCTTTGTAAACAAACAGCAACAACATGTGAACACCATGATGCAGTACTGTTACACGTGCAGGTACAGGAGGTGATTCGGCAACGATCAAATGTTACAGCAACGCTACAAGATCCCTTAGGAATGCTTAGATTTTGAGATGGGAAAACCACGGCACTTAAATGAAAACCTGGAAGCAAACAAACAAAAAAAAACTTACAAAAGAGGAAAATATTGAAAAATACTGGTTATTACATTTCATAAGCCTTTCTTACAAGTTAATAATTTTGTGTTAACAATATTATAATATACAGCATCTGTATTTCTGATTTAAAAACCAATTACATAAACACACGGCAAAATTTATGAATACT